TCTGGTTAGCAGTCAAGTGCTTTAGCCATTATGCTACCAGAGCATGTATCCTAGGAAACTCAAATGACAGGCATTCTTGGTAGAGCTTAGCTTACCATGAAGGGAATGAAATTATTTCCTTCAAAGATCCTTGGGAACTTGTGACTAGACAGGATCAACAGTAGCCCAGCATGAGCTGCTAGAATGTCTAAAGACCCATTCTCACTAGATCCAGAATTCTAGAGTGAAGCCTGAGGGACAAGGAAGCAACTGGAACAGCAGACTGATGAGCCCTCATTCGTCTGGATATGGAAGACAGCAACCTCCCCCACAAGCCTTAGATGTTGTTGTTGTTGTTGTTGTTATGTGCCCTCGAGTCAGACGTGACTCATAGCGACCTCTCCTTGGGTTTCCAAGATGGTATAACTACGGAAGTAGATTGCCCCATCTTCCTTCCGAGGAATGGCTGGTGGGTTTGAACTGCCAGCCTATGGAGTCCCTGGTAGTGCAAACAGTTAATGCTCTTGGCTGTTAAACAAAAGTATGGAAGTTTAAGTCCACTCAGAGCCTATTTAGAAGAAAGCCCTGGCTATTTACTTTTGAAAAATCAGCCACTGAAATTATATGGAGTTTAAGACCATAGTCCTGTGGGACAACTCAGTTAATTGCTTAATATAGTTCATAAAGTGTATATTCTATATATCAATGTGGTGAGTAACGTCTAGGGTCTTAAAAGCTTGCAAGCAGCTATCTAAGATATAACTATTGGTTTCTATTAATCCAGAACAAAAACAAAGGAAGGAAGCCAAAGATTCAAAGAAAGTAGTCTCTAGGACTAATAGTCTACCACAGCCTCATCTGCCCTGATACCAGAAGAACTAAAGGGTGCCTAGCTACCACTACTGACCATTCTGATCAGGATCATAATAGATGGCTCTTAATAGAATAGGGGGAAAATGTGGAACAGAACTCAAATTCTTGAAGTCTAAATTTATTGGATGAGTTAAGACTAGAGGACTCTCCTAGACTATTGTACTGAGATAGATACTCTTTAAACCATAAAGTAAAATTATCCTTTGAGGTCAGCTTTTAGCTAAATAATATATTGGCTCATAAAATTAAAATATATAAATATCATTCATGAGTAATAAGCTTTTTAAAAAAATCATCTACATGAGATCAAATGGTCAAAAATTACTCTAAAGCAAAGATGAGAAGGTAATGGGGCAGGGGAACCACATTGCTGGAAATGGTACAGCCAGAATGGAAATAATGAGAATGTTGACATGTTGTGAAAAATTTAATCACTGTCGCTGAACAACTTGTACAAAATTGTTAAATAGGAACCTAATTTGTTGTGTAACCTTTCACCTTACACACAATATTATTTTTAAAATGAATAAATTAAAAGCTCTACAGAGAACATTTCTACTCTGACACCCATGGGATTGCCATGAGTAGGAATGAACTCAGTGGCAGCTAGTTCTTTTTTTATCCATAGCCAAGATGTTCCAAGACTGTCCTGTTGTCCAAAATTCAGTCCTGTTCTTCAGAATTCTAGATTGAAAAATATAATCACTGTAGTTACAAGGATGTAATTAAAACTACCAACAAATACAGAGTTGTACCCATGCAATACTGAAGAATGAGCTTAAATATGAGTCAGTTCTTTCAGCTCAGGATAATCAGTCCTTTGTGCATGAACTGGCAAGAAGTGAAAAAGTGTTCCTGAATTCATCACTTCATGACAGACCTTAAGACAGGTCCTTATCACAGCCCCAATTTTACATTTATTTCTAATATTCTGTATGTATTTTAAACAATAGTTAACTGGAAACTTGTGAAGACATCTTAGTGGTTTACCCAAGATTGTCCAGTGAATAACAGGCAGAGTGGAACAGAAAAACTGATCCAATAAAAAACACATAGATCTCTAAAAATAAATGCTACACTGTGCCGTCAAAAACACAGAAACAGAGGTGAGAAAGGAAAAACTCATAGGAGCATTGGCCCTGATAGTCAAGGACTGTTACCTACAACATTATGATGGTCCTTGGTTCTGACCAGAGCTACTGGAAATTCCATCAAGTCACTTTAAGGGTACATAAAGCTTCAGTGTGGAACAACCATTTTCTGGAAGGAGGAATGTGACTCAGAACCAAGGCAACTGACGGGACCCTCTTCTCTTAGTGCCTTTGATAACATACTGGAGAACAGAGTTGGGTTTTGAGTCGACTGAAATCTTCCATAAAAGGAGTCTAAATGCAGGCTACATAACATCCAAAAGCTCCCCAGAGAAATTCCTATTTTGTACATGGACGGGAGAATGTAGCAAGTTCCATCTGGCTGGGCAGAGAACATTCCCTGCTAGTGAAACTTCATGGTTCTTGTGTTTAGTGCCAACTGCATGTTCACACTAGACCAGGGACCTGAACACAGAGGTGTAGGCGTACTAGAAACTGAGCTAGACGGAGCAGGCAGTGCTGTGCCATTCTCTGTCGCTAAAACATCAAAACCACAAGGCAAGATATTAGTAAGGGTATCATTTTTATAAAGTCTCTAATAGTTATAAGCCAAAATTATGACTGATGTTAGTTACTCAGAGTTGCTATAGCAAAATAGAGTGACATCATCTTTTTCCATTAGGCTCCTATCAATACATAAACGAAAACTAAGAACAGGCTGAGATTTATCACTAATGACTCTCCCTCGGAGGGACTGGCCCTCTCAGGGAAACCTCAAAACTTTAAAGTAAGTATAAGTAGAATTAGCCGTATAAAGAAGTAAAGGTGCAATTGGATGAGGTGACTTAGCTCAAATGTCACCTCTTCAAAGAGGCCTCCACTGACAAGCCTAGAGTACTGGACTTCCTTCTTCATTAGGTAGTAACATCTAGTTTACTCTGTAACATGTTACCTTTGAAAAGTATCAAATGATCTTGTGTTTGTCTTCCTCCCTGTCTGAATTTAGACTCCCTGAGAGAGGAACTTTGCACAGTCCCTTATTCTGCTCCTAACACCCAGAGAGAGACTGGATTACAGTAGGCCCTCAATGAGATTTGACTGGCTGACTAGTTGCCTTTCCAACTGGCAAAGAATAACAAGTTTGATTATCTCAAACCAAAGCTTTAATAAAGTACAGAAAAATCAGCAAGTAATTCATCAAAAACATCACATATTGGGGGAAAGATTTTATATATATACATATATGTATATATACAAAAAAAAAAAAACCTCACTGCCGTAGAGTTGGATCCAACTCATAGCAACCCCGCCTTGGGTTTCCGAGGCAGTATCACCACAGAAGTAGATTGCCCAACCTTCCTTCCAAGGAGTGGTTGGTGGGTTTGAACCGCCAGCCTTCTGGTTAACAGTAAAATGCCTTAGGCACTACACCACCAGAGCTCCCATACATACATGTTGCTGTTGTTATGTGCCATCAAGTTGGCCCCGACTCATAGTGACCCCTCCTTGGGTTTCCGAGGCAGTATTATTACAGAAGTAGGATTGCCCAACCTTCCTGGTGGGTTTGAACTGCCAGCCTTCTGGTTAGCAGTCAAGTGCCTTAGGCACTATGCTATCAGAGCTCCTATACATATACATCCATCCATACATACACATACAAACATACATATATAATATTAATCAAATTCATCCTTAGAGGCACAGTGGGCTGAAGCAATGGCACTCCAATTGTGGTCCATGAAGAAGCAGCATCATTATCCCTCGGCAGCTTGTTAGAAAGCAAAGTCTCACCCCAGACCCAGTGAATCAGAGTATCTAGGAGTAGGGTTCAAAATTCTGTGTTTTAATAATCTGTGTTTTAGGAGTCCACATGATTCTTATATACCCTAATGTTTGAGAACCACTGATTGGAAAAAATATTATGTTACAAGTAACAGTGCCAATGATCTTAAATGAGTAACTTATTTAGAAATGAAGGTAGGAATAAACCAGAAACATCATAAAGATTAGGCTTTTGCTGGGGACAACTGGCACATTCTTGCAGGCAATAAGATTTTTAAAAAATCAAGAAAAAGGAAGAGAAGAAATGATATACATGAATATGCAGCCCTCTGAATCCTGCCTACCTTGTCCCCAGGTCATTGGTCCCCATTGTGTCTCACCAAGCTTTCCCAGATCTGACTACACAACCAGCAGACTATGCTCCTTGTTTACAAAACTCTTGCTTCACTTGGTTCCCCTCCCCTTCCCACCATTAATGTCCTTGAAGCAACACTCCCTGTGGCTTTCTAGGAGTCAATGTAACAGACGACTGGCCAGGACAACTCTAAAAAAGTAGTCTTCCTGGGGAAGTTGCGGGGGTCGGGGGGGAAGCCATACCATGATTTAGATGTCTGATGCAGTCACTCAGGAGCGTACTAAACTTCTTCTGGTGTGTGGCCTCCTGGAAACAGAAGTAGGCATGTCTGAGGAACGGCTGCCACAGGTACACCGGGAATTCCTTGGGCAGGACCACAAAGGGCTGAGTGTTCTCCTTCTCACTGGATGCTAAAGATTATTGAAAACACAAATATATTTTAAAACATGTCTCTTCTATTTAGAAGGAGCACTGGTGGCACAACAGATAAGTGTTCAGCTATGAACTTTAAAGTCTGCATTTCAAAGCTACCAGTCTGCTCCCATAGGGATTATAGCATGGGAAACTCCATGGGATGGTTCTACTCCATCATATAGGTTTGCTGTGAGTTGGAGTCGACTCGACAACAAAGAACATCTTCTATTTAAGACACTTATTTCCATCTAGGAAGGAACTGTTTTTTTTTTTTTTTAGGATTTGGGTGAAGATTTACAGAGTAAATTCACTTTTCATACAGCAGTTCACATAT